TGCTATGGGTGGCTAGCTAATAAGTTAATCGATAATTGCAAAGGATTAGGATGGAAGCATCAGAATTTACTTGAACCCGAAGATATTGATCATATCATTCACAACAGTCTCTGAATACTATACCTAAAATTGACACTAATCAAATACCGATAAACACAACATCACTAAATCATTCATTATATGGTTCCACTAACTCCATTTTTTCTTATCGATTGTAAGAACTAGCTAGTACTTCTGTTCAATCATAAAACGTGAGATTTTAACATATTATATGTCAAAAAGACTTATAAATTTATTTATCTAATCTCTTAAGTCCAAATAATTTATTAATTTTATTAATATTACGGTCTATACATTGAAGTTATATCGACCCGATAATTGACTGCACGTGACTCAAACTGATATAATAAATTCAGTCACAAGAAAATAGTATACATTACAATTTGTGAATTATGTTAAAAACAGTACAATTTATAAATTGCAATGAAGACAATTTTTCTAAGACAGAGAAGATACATTATTAGCATTGCAAGTATATATTAGGCAAATTCATTAAAAAAAAATTTGTAAAATTCGTTCCTATTTATATTGAAATTATTGATCTTGAGCTAAACTGAAATTCACGAATTTACGCGATTTTTTCAATTGCATTAACCGGAAACTACCTGTTCTTGTCGACAGTTTTTTTTTTTCCTTGGTAAAAAGGAACTCTAGATATATTTTTTCATATACCATTATAGTTATCTTAGAGAGATCGGTGCATGTTAATTACCAAATTACTCCTTCATTGTCAAATCTGAATTTTCCTCTCTAGTTTAAAAAGAAAAATTTTAAACACGAGAATTATTTTGGTACGGAAAAATACAAATTTTACAAACAAATCTAATACATTAATTATCACACAAGGAAAAAAATCTTTTCCTGAATAAGCAATTGATACAACTCTGCATTCTAATTTGAGTTTCATCCTGAATAAGCTAGCTAAAAGAGAACTTCCACTCCACAGTTCTACTTTTAAACTCAAAATTTCTCGGAGTTCTTTCAGACAAAATTTGATACGCAAGCCTGAAGCAAAGCACAAAAATACTTTCTTTCTACAGGTTATACCTTCTCTTTATAATATATACTTTGCACTCTTTTGATGTATCCATTTTAAACTATCACCAGAAAACTTTCCGTTCCCAAAGCAATTCTTGACTTGTATCAAATCCTCTGAAAATTTGCATTCGTTAAAAAGGTACAGCAATGTTTCTTTCATATCCCTACATAAACAGCATCTTTTATCCTCAACAGGAACTCCCAAGTGATTTTATTTGTCCATAGTCCTTAATTAATTAGTTGACAGTTCATCTGTACTGTTTTCAATATGCTCCAATTAATAATTTGGATTCCTCTCCGCCTTTTATCTTTTCTTCTCCATCGCGATACTCATTAGTTATTACAATAGGTAAAAAAGCTGGTGTAGGGATAAGGTTATATACTTCTCGTCCAAAGTTAGATTCCCGTAACATGAATGAAAGTTTTCGTAAGTCCATTAAGTGTAGGTAATGCTATTACTTTTTACATGCATGGCACATGGCTTTTCTTTTAAATAATATAGAAAAACATGTGTGTGTGTGTTTTGCTTGTATCTCATCTCAAGGAAGGTATGCATGTCCGGTTTTTTATGTTTAAAAGTAAAAGTTACAAGGATTTTGTTGGGGATTTATCTGGAGGAGAAAATCCGACATAAAACTCAATAAGTAAGATAAAAGATCCATCTAAACTCAAAAGCTCAAGCTAATGGGTTTTGAGACCACCTTACTTATTAACTGATTCACATATCCTCATGCCTCCGATGTGGGATTCATAATCCTTGCCACATGACCCTCAACATTCTCCCCCGTCATGGGCAATCTCCACATCGGGCTTCCAAATTATCTTGACAAGCCCAAATCTGTACTCCACCTGAGTAACTGGGCCGCCCATCCCTACGCTTCCGCTCGTAGTGGGCTTTTGACTGCCTCGGTTCAGTCATTAGATCAACCGAGATAATTTTGACTAAATCACCCACCCAACTGGCCCAACCTGGGCTCTGATACCACAATTGGAGATTTATCTGGAGGAAAAAACCCGACATGGAGCCCAATAAGTAAGATAAGACTCATCTGAACTCAAAAGCTCAAGCTAATGGGAGACCACCTTACTTATTAACTGATTCATGTATCCTCATGCCTCCGATGTGGGATTCATAATCCTTGCCACATGACCCTCAACATTCTCTCCAGTCATGGACAATCTCCACATTGAACAGCTTGATGTGAAGACAGCCTTCCTGCATGGTGATTTGGAAGAAGAGATTTACATGGAGCAACCAAATGGGTTTCAGGAGAAGGGGAAAGAGAAGCTTGTATGTCGTCTCAACAAAAGCTTGTATGGGTTGAAGCAAGCTCCGAGACAGTGGTACAAGAAATTTGATGTCTTTATGATAGGGCAGGGATACCAAAGGACTACAGCCGATCACTGTGTATTTGTGAAGAAATTCTCTGATGATGATTTTATAATTCTTTTGCTTTATGTCGATGACATGTTGATTGTTGGTCATGATACTGCAAAGATTGCCAGGTTGAAAAAGGAGTTGAATAAATCATTTGTGATGAAGGATTTGGGTCCGGCTAGACAGATCCTTGGGATGAAGATTTCTCGTGACAGACATAATGGGAAGCTTTGGGTATCTCAAGAGAAGTATATCGAGAAGGTTCTTGATAGGTTTAACATGAGTGGTGCTAAGGAAGTCTCGACTCCACTTGCAGGACATTTTAAGTTAAGCAAAATGCAGTGTCCTAAAAGTGAGAAAGATAAGGAAGAGATGAAAAAGGTTCCTTATGTTTTGGCAGTTGGCAGCCTCATGTATGCAATGGTTTGCACAAGCCCAGACATAGCTCATGCAGTTGGTGTTGTTAGTCGGTTTCTCTCCAATCCTAGTAAGGAGCATTGGAATGCTGTGAAATGGATTCTCAGGTATCTTAGGGGTACTTCCAGATTGAGTCTTTGCTTTGGCAATGGGAAGACCATGTTGGGTGGATATACAGATGCTGACATGGCGGGTGACCTGGATGGTCGGAAGTCTACTTCTGGTTACTTGATGACTTATGGAGGGGGAGCAGTTTCATGGCAAAGTAGGTTGCAGAAATGTGTTGCTTTGTCTACTATAGAGGCAGAGTTTATCGCAGCTACTGAATCTTGTAAGGAAGCACTTTGGTTGCAGAAATTTCTACAAGAGCTTGGCATGAAGTAAGAGAGGTATGTAGTGTATTGTGATAGCCAGAGTGCTATTCACTTAGCTAAGAATTCCACATTTAATTCGCGGTCAAAACATATTGATGTTTAGATATCATTGGATTTGGGATGTACTAGAGTCCAAGGTATTATTTCTTGAGAAGATCTATACGGATGACAATGGTGTCGATATGTTGACGAAGACTGTGAGTAGAGACAAGCTCCTGTTTTGCAGACAGGAAGTGGGTTTGGTTTTACCCCAATTGAGGTGAAGGGGGAGATTGTTGGGCCCGAGTTCCCCTCAAATTGGGCCCAGTAGTGATTGAAACCAAATCAATTTGGTTTTAGGAAACAAAACCCACTCCAATTGGGTTTTTGTTTTTAGGTTTTTTTACTCTATAAAAGCAAGGCTTTGGCATAATTTTTAGGTGTGTGTTTTTCAGCCAAGAAGAGAAAAAAAGTTTGGGCAGCCGTGCATTGTTTTTGTACGAGAGAAAAAGAAAGAAATCTAGAGTTTAGTTTTCGGTTTAGCTCTCTTTTGGTTAGATTCTTCCAGTCCTACTCTGTGATAGGTGTTTTGGAAGAGTATTGTTATAATCCACCTTTGGGTGAAGTCCTGTGTATCCACCGATTGGTGAAGACTGTTTTCTCATTATTGTGATAGTGGAGATTTGACTGTTGTTACAGTCCCGTAGTTTTTTCCGATTTGGGTTTCCACGTAAATTTTGTGCGTCTACTTTACTTTATCAGTTCTTGAATTAGTTGCTTGTTTGGTTGGTTGTCCTATTTTATTGGTAGTAGGAAAGGAGTTTTTCCTGAGGTTCGCTTCCGTGGTTTGTTGTGTGTATATCCTTTCCGCCACAACAGTGGTATCAGAGCCCAGGTTGGGCCAATTGGGTGGGTGATTTAGCCCAAATTATCTCGGTTGATCTGACTGAACCAGGCAGTCAAAGGCCCACTACAAGCAGAAGCGTAGCGATGGACGGCCCAGTTACTCAGGTGGAGTACAGATTTGGGCTTGTCAAGATAATTTTGAAGCATGATGTGGAGATTGCCCATGACGGGGGAAAATGTTGAGGGTCATGTGGCAAGGATTATGAATCCCACATCGGAGGCATGAGGACATGTGAATCAGTTAATAAGTAAGGTGGTCTTAGAACCCATTAACTTGAGCTTTTGAGTTCAGATGGGTCTTATCTTACTTATTGGGCTCCATCTCGGGTTTTCCCCTCCAGATAAATCCCCAACAGATTTGTAAAAGTAAATTTTTTATTTTTATAATAAACTACTTCACTAAAGAAGAACTTTATGATTGAAATTTTACTTTATGATTCCAATTGTACTTGTTATAGGGTTTAGTATATTCGCTGTTCTATTTTTTTTCTTTAAAATTTATAAATTTTTTTTTTTAAAAAAAGAAGAACTAGATTAATTAAAAAAAGAAAAAAGAAAAAAAAAAGCACAAACAGCTAGCTTGCTATGGGTGGTTAATTAATTAATAAGTTAGTAAACAATTAAAAAGATTAGGATGAAGGAATCACAATTTACTTCAACCCGAAGGTGTTGATGATCACATAATTAACAATAATCTAAGTCCATTATGTTTAATCTTCCCCGCCTTCCAACGATCGATACTCAAAACAATTGACAACACTAATTATAAGTAATGTACTTTGTAGTCTGTACAAATACAATACACCAACCCAGTTTGTACTATAATCATATCTACTTAGCTGGCTGGAATGGAAGACAAATCATGGGTTGTTGAAGTGGATGATGAAGCTAACAGACTCGATCAAGTCATTGAATCCGAGAAGAAGAACTGGGAGAAGCATTCCATCTACAAACTCCCAGCCTGTGTCGCCACTGAAGGTAGCGAGAATTGCTACCAACCTCAGGCGATCTCCTTTGGCCCTTACCATTACGATGATCCGAAATTGCAGCCAATGGAAGCCCACAAGAAAAGAGCACTACTCCGTTTCCTCAAGAGATCAAAGAAAACCATGCGACATTGTGTCGATTCGTTGAGTTCTATCACGGAAGATTTGATGGCAGCGTACGACTCTTTGGATCAGAAATGGGAAGAAGATCAAGAAGGTTTCATGATGATGATGATGAGGGATGGATGTTTCATGCTTGAATTATTGAGGGTGGCATCGCCATCGTTATCGCAGAGAGAAGTATATGATGAGAAGGATCCAATCTTTAGTAATCATGGACATCTGTACATGATGCCTTATTTCAAGCGTGACATGTTGATGCTGGAGAATCAGTTGCCCATGTTGCTTCTCACCAACTTGCTTTCTCTTGATGAAGATGGTGAACGTCAATCCCAGGTCTTTATTTTAATTTCCCTCCAACTTACTCTTGTTTTTTTTTTTTCATTTATTTCATTTTTTTTTTCGGGGTGCATACAGAATAACATATGCTTTTCATTCTTCTCATTTAATCTGATGAATTTTTACCTCCCACAAAAATGCCGGCGAAGTTTAACCTTTAACCTTTTTCGCCGATCTTTGTGCATTGTTTTGATCGTTTGGATAATTGGATCTGATATTTTCAAGGAATTTTGTTCATAGATCAAAAGAAATAAAAAAATACTACTATCATATATTACGTTAGTTATTTTACTAATGAAAATTACCAATATTACCCTTGTTAAAAAGAGTCTCCACATTTTCTAAACAAAAATATAGGACACCTATCATATGAAAAGTTTAGTCAAAATATATAGTATAAAGTGGAAAATACACTAATGATGACACTTTAATAGATATCAAACGTATTATAAATAGGATTAAGAGAAATTATGAGAAATGTCTTATAACAAGAATCGGAGGGAGTACATGTTGTTGAGCTCAAATTTACTCAAACTTATGAAAATTAATCAACATAATTTCATCTACCAATGCATCGTGTATTATGAGAAAATTCATCTTCGAGTAGTAAATTTTTCATTTTAATACGCCTGCATGATTAATTCAGGAGAAAAAGAATGAGGCAATCAACGGACTCATACGGTCGTTCTTCTTTCCCGAAGATAATGACCTCGATTTGGGAGAATGTGCACATGTGTTGGATGCTTACCGGAAACTATTATTATTAATAGGAAAAAAATCACCCGACCCGATTGAAGTTGAAAGCATTACCAAAAGGGATTCCGTTACTTACTATTGGGGTGGATCCGATGACATCATCCCATCAGCAAGTGAGCTTGTTGATTCTGGAGTCACAATTAGAAAGAGCAAAACAAGAAGTATCAAAGATATACGTTTCGTGCCAGGCCTTTTCCGTGGCGTTCTTTATATACCTCCAGTAATGGTGGACGACACGACACAGTCGATCTATCTTAACCTAATGGCCTACGAGAGATTTCACATCGGAATAGGTAATGATGTGACGGCATACGTCGCGTTCATGGATGACCTAATCGATAATGCCAAGGACGTAAACCTTTTGAAGTCTAACAAGATTATTCAGAACGCGTATGGAAGTGATAAGAACGTCGCTGAATTGTTCAACACTCTCTCCATCAATATGGCGCATGATACTTTTAATAGGCTGGTTTTCATAAGAAGCGAAGCAAAGGAGTATTGCGATCGGCATTGGAATAAATGGAGGGGTATTCTCATCCGTTCTTACTTCAACCATCCTTGGGCTGTCATATCTTTGATCGCCGCCATTTTTCTTTTCACGCTCACCATCCTTGGGACTTCATACACCATCGCCCAATTCTACCACGAACCTTCCACTCCAGAAAAATAATTTACGTTTTTCATGATTTGTACTAATTTTCTTTAAAGGATGGAATACTTTTTTATTTCTTTTGCATATTGCAATGACTAATCCCTTTCGCTCATGGATTTGTATTATATTTATGAAATAAAAATAGTACATTTTTTTTTTCATATTGTTGGGTATCCACTGTTGATAGAAATTACTAATTTCTCTTCCTGATAATATAAAAATTTGTACCCTTTTAGCAGGCATTTTTTACTCATTTCTACTTATAATTTAGTGTCAATTAGTTAGGATTAATTTATTTTTGAAGTGATTTTGCAGTTCAGGAATCTCAGAGGCCCAATGTGGAAAATCAGCATAAATAAGGGTCGAATTGCACAAAAAGGCATATGAATGGACAGGAATAGAAGCTGCTGGAAAATGAGCTGTTGGAAGATCGATCAGTGCTAAAGCAAGTGGAGAAATCCTTGTTGTGGAAGGAAGATTGATAGCAGATGGACTCAAGTGGAAGAATCTGCAGCAACAACCTCAATAGAGGAAGAAGAACTGGTAGCTGCTCTGCTGCCAAGTTGCTGTTACAGATGCTGTTGCTACTGTTAATCAGCAAGAGCCAATGCTTAATTCTTGCTGCCTAAGGAAGGAATTGCTTCGCCATCACTACAATTTATAGCTGCTGCAAGTTGAAAAAGAGAACGAGGGAGAATATGTGGAAAATAGCAGCTACAAACCTGCTATTTACCTGCTGTGACTACTGCTGCTGAATTGATGGATTGGCTACTGCAGTCTGGTGAGAAATGGTGTTGCAAGTAATTACAGGAGACAAGGAAGGAAAAGGCAGACAGATTTGGGCTGAATTGAGGCTGAAACACAATGATGGAAGGAAGCATGCTGCTGATGCTGCTGCTTGCTACTACTGCTAGTTGAGCTGTTGCAGATTAAAGAATGAAGAAATAGAGATTTGTGGCTGAAAATTGAAGAAACTGCGTCGGAGAAGAAGACTAAGAGAAGAAGGCAATGATGGGAGAAAGGTGGCTGATTTGCGGCTGAAGAGAAAGAGCAACCAAAGAGAAGGATGCAAGTTGCCAACTAGGCAAGTTTCTGAGTAAACAAACCTCTACTGCTGCAAGTTGCTGCCTCACCTTTCTGCTACAGAGAAGAAGGCCAGAATTCAACCAATGCAAGCTTCTCCAAATCTCTATAAATAATCAGTCAATAGCAGTTAGAAAAATAACAGATTGGCTAGTTAGATTTAGTCCAAAAAGACAGTAGTTAGGTACTAAGTTAGAAGGTTAGAAACAAGGTAATAGCAGGAACAAGGAGGCAGACTGTCACTTTTTTAAGTGGCGAATGCCACTCGCCATAGTGAGCAGACAGAAACTGTGCCTGCTACCATCTTCCCTTTCTTTCCTCTAACCTTTTGATTCGGATTCTTGTCTTATCTTTTGTACTCTTTTGCTCTCATGTTGAACTCAATAAACATGAACTACTAACTCAGTTGAGGGTTCAATCCCTACTATCTTTATGTGAAAGTTCTGATTCAGTTTCCATGATGAGGTGTTATGCCTAGATAAGTTATTTAATTAATCTTTTAATTAGCTTGGCTACTTAATTAAATGTGCTTACATGGTTATGAAGATTTGGAAGGGGGAGCATAAGCTTCGAACTGCTTAATCTAGTCTATGACAATTGAGAAAATCTATCTTGCGGTTACAAACATCAACGAAAGTTAGGTGAATGGCAGAGGGGATCAAAGAGGGCTTAAGAATTCAATGGCTTAGATTAATGAATTACTCTGACTGGAAGGTAGGTGATTTAGATAATCTAGGACTCTTCGTTCTGTCTGAAAGGAATTATACATAATATACGTGCCTGATCGAACAACTATTCATACACTATAGGAATATTTGAATCAAAACTGGATCATAACGATAGCAATGTGATTGAGCCTTCTGCCTCTTCACTCTGTCAAGTGACTATTCTCACTCTCTCAAGTGACAATTTGTTCAACTTATTTTCTTTCGTTTTTGCACTTTAATCAGATTTTGAGTGGTTGACTGCCATCTCTGTGGAACGACCTTGCTTACCACTAGCTATTAGTTTTAAGTAGGTTTATAAATATTCCTTTTGGGAAAGTGGTTCAACACCAAACGACTCACCAAAAGTGACACCGTTGCCGGGAATGGCGTTACAAATCCTTGAAATCTGATTATAGTTTTCTGTTTTGTTCTTTTTAGTTTTCTGTGTTTAATCAAATTTACTTACTCAAAATCACAAATCTTGCTATTGTTATTCTTCGCATTTTGATTACTGGTTTATGACTAGAAGCAATCCATTAAGAGAGCTAAGTTTTGATCCAAAAATTAAAATCACAGCAAGGAGATCTATAGCCTTGCAAAACAGAGAAGCTGCTCCTCGTGTTCCGAAGAACCAGAAGCAGATGGCAGAAGTAGCAGCAGCTGATCGACCTCAAGAAGGAGAGGTACAACCAGCTCCACTCAGACTGCTAAGAGATTATTTTGTACCCCAAGAGGAGGAAGTTCAAACTCCACTGGTGTAAAATGATGTTGAACTTTGAGCTCAAAACTCAAATGATTCAATGGGTGCAAGCTACTTGTCCTTTGTATAGACTGCCTAGTGAAGATCCCAATGAGCACATAAGGAAATTCTTGAGACTGTGCAGCACCTTCAAGATTCTAGATTTGTCCAAGGACGAGGTTTACTTGAGACTGTTTCCATTCACATTGCAGGACTTAGCAGCAAAATGGTTGGACACTCTGCCCAACAATTCAATCAACTCCTGGAATGGACTCAGACAGACATTCCTTGCAAAATTCTTCCCACCTGTTAAGGCTGCTGCTTTAAGATCAGCCATCATGACTTTTTAGCAGTATGGAACAGAGACTCTTTATGATGCCTGGGAAAAATTTAAGGATCTGATGAGGAAGTGCTCTCAACATGGTGTAGAAAAGCCAATGCAGCTGTGCATTTTCTATAATGAATTGCAGCAAGCCTTCAGAGAATCACTTGATTCATCATCTGGAGGAGCATTTAGTATGAAACCTGTAGAAAAAGTAATCCAGCTACTGGAGAATATGTGTGCTAACCATTTTAGATGACAGATAGAGCCTAGAGCTACAGCTAAGAATGCAGGAGTGTTGGAACTGGATGCTACAACTCACTTACAAGCACAGATGGCGGCCATCTCCAGTGAGATAGCAAAGCTAAGAGCTGACATCAGCAAACCAAAGGTTGATGTATGTGAAATCTGCACAAGATCTCACCCCAGCTCTACCTGTTAAACCGCTATGGAAGAAGTTTAGTTCGTGAGGCAAGGAAATGACAGAGGAGGCTTCAACAATTACAGCAATTGGAGGCCACAGCAGAATAACAACTGGACTAATCAGCAGTCGAGCTATCAGCGATTAACTCAACCACCTGGATTTCAGGATCAACTATTCGAAATCAAGAAAAAACACTGGATAGAGGTAAGGTATTCCCTTGTTGATCTTGATGTTACCATTAAGGAATTGTAGGAGCAAATCGCAGGGATGGATAGAGGAGTGTCTGACAACACTAGTGAAGAGGATTCCATGGAGGCTAAACAGGCCAATGCAATCACACTGAAAAGTGGGAAGCAGCTGCTGTGACCAAGTGCAGCAGTCTCAGAGAAGAAGAGAAAGGAGAACCAAGAGGTAGAGTCACCAGGAAAAAAACTGCAAAAGAAGACAACCAGGGAGAGCAGAACACCCCCGTCATCGACTTAACTGAGGAACATCAATCGTTGAGGTAACACCTCCATATGAGCCTAAATTACCATTCCCAGTACGAGATCTAAAGAAGAATGCAGAAGATGGAATGAAGAAAACTTGGAGAATCTTCACATCAATGTCCCTTTGATAAATGCTCTGCGACAGATGCCGAAATACTTCAAACATCTAAAGAAGCTGGTGACAAGTAAACTAAGGATCCATTACTGCTCATGCATTACTCTAAAAGAGGAATGCAGTGCAGTACTTCAAAAGAAGCTACTTGCAAAACTCAACGAACCAGGGAGCTTTACTCTGCCATGTACAGTAGGGAACATGAGTGTCAAGAAGGCCCTACTAGATTTGGGAGCAAGCATTAATCTAATGCCCCGATCAGTTTTTAAGGCATTAGAAATCGATGAGGTGCTGACCCCCACCAACAACACTCTGCAGCTAGCTGATAGATCACTTACCTACCCAAAAGGTGTGATTCATGTTATACTGGTAAAAGTTGGGACATTCATATATCCAGCAAATTTCATGGTGCCCCATATGGAAGAAGATACGGATGTCCCTATCATCCTTGGAAGACCATTAATGCTGTGATTGAAGTTAAGAAGGGAGCAGTCACCTTGCAGTTTGACAGAGAAAAGGTAACCTTTAATATCTTCAATAGCATGAAATTTCCTGCGGAAAAACAACAATGTTTCAGGATTGATGCTGTCGAGATGGCTATAGAGGAAGCTTGTGCAGTCCATGCTAAACTAGATGAACTACTAAGGTTGCAAATTCAAGGAGAAGTGGAGGAGACACAACCCCCTGCAATAGAGAAAGAGGAAGCAGTCCCTTTGGCAAGTTACCTTGATTACTCGCCAAAGTGCTCTGTCAAGCAGGCAACTGAAATCTTGGATATGTCCAAGGAAAAAAAGAGCCTCAAGCCATCTATCGAAGAGCCACTGATGATAGAATTAAAGCCATTGACAACTCATCTTAAGTATGTCTCTTAGGAGAAGGTAACACCCTGCCTGTAATTATCTCTTTCCCTCTCGCAACAGTGCAAGAAGATCAATTGCTTGGAGTACTAAAGAAGCACAAAACAACAATTCGGTGGACAATTGCTGACATAAAAGGCATCAGTTCATCGGTGTGCATGCACAAGATACTGTTGGAAGAAGGTGCCAAACCAACTATCAAAGGTCAGAGGATGTTGAACCCAACAATGAAGGAGGTCATGAAAAGGGAAATAATCAAGTTACTAGAAGCAGCCATCCTATATCTAATTTTGGATAGCAATTGGTTGAAACCAATACAATGTATGCCAAAGAAAGGAGGGATAACATTCATTAAGAATTACCAGAATGAACTGATTC